GTGCTCAGGGCCCCCAGTCTCACTGCCAGGCAGGAGAGGGGCCGTGTGGACTGCCCAGGCCCAGCTGTCACCAGCTGCAAGAGGGACCCCGCAGAAGCACCCGAGCACCCGGAGTGCTGGCTCGCGGCCTGAGCAGAAGCTGCTTCCTCACCAGTTTCTGGGTGCAGCATGGTCGGGTGAGGAGGTAACGGGGAGGTGACCTTTCTTCCACACCCGCACGACCTCCTGGACGCACCCCAGAAGAGCACGTTACCATGGCAATCTGCAAATGCAGAAGCCAGAGGCTCACAGCCCAGGGGTAGCCTGACCATTTCTGTCACGGAACTGTCCCCGTGTGTGGTCCTTGCCCCTGCCTTCTGGAAGCTGTGAGCAGCATGGCTGGTCCCCCGTGGAGGTGGTGATACCACTGGCTTCTCTAGCAGGGACTCGGGGAGTTGGCAGCTGGGACAGCATGGGCGCTTCTCACAGGCAGCACCTGGGCTGGCCATGTCCGTATCACTGACCTGGGACGTGGCCGTTTAAGAAGCCGTGTCAGTGCTGGCCAAGAGACCGCTGGGGCTGTGCAGGAGCAGCCGTTCAGAGGCACAGGGCGGCACTGAGCCTGTGCGTGCCCCCCAGGCCGGCCCGAGCCAAGGCCTGGCTCTGCCACATGAGCCAGGTGCACAAGGCAAGCGGTCAGATATGCTGAACCTCGCTGTCCTCGTTGTACCTGGGGCTCCTGGACCTGGCCACTGGGAAGGCCGCAGATGAACCTTAAGGGGGGCTGAGGGGGACCTGGGGTCACCTCTGTCCAAGCCCAGCTCAGGTGGGGGAGGTGGCGTTGCCTCTGGTATTCACCCTGCACTTCCTAGTGGACGTGGTGGCACTTCTCCTGTCCCAGCCGCCTCAGGGCTGGGATTACAGGCCTGCACCAGCACATCCACGTGTGCCGTGTTTGTGGGGCAATAGCAAGCTGTATATATTTTTTTAGGTCCTGGGGATGGAATTCAGGGCCTCAGGCCCACTAAGGCAAAGCTCTACTAATAAGCCACCCTCAGCTCCTGCACTGCACACTTTTGACTTCTGGACCTTTCTGCACAAATGTGCTTTCTTATTTATCCTTTTTTTTGGGGGGGGGCAAGGTCTTGCTATGTACCCCCAGGGTAGCCTTGAACTTCCGGCAATTCTTCTGCCTCGGCCTCCCGAGTGCTGGCATTACAGACACACGTCTCCCACATTTGGCTTGAATGTAGCATTTTAATGAAAAAACAGGAGAACACACCCACCCTCCCGAGTGCCCCTCTGGCCTCCTTGCCTGCCCCAGGACACTCGCTCCTGCCATCTCCTCTGCCCGAAGCCCCCCTGCCAGGTGCTCTCATGCATCCTGCCCTTCCTTGTCCCTGTCACTTCCTTGAGACTACGCAGGACTTGGGTCTGACAAGCCTGCCCTGGAAGTGGGGTGGCAGCCCTGTCCCAGCAGCTATTCCAGGAACTTCACAGGCCCTTGCTCACACCTCCTGCTTCTCAGAGGCTAAGAATGGCAGTGCCTGAGGTAGGTGACAGGCAGGGCATGTGGCCCAGGGACCCAGACCCGCTGGGCTGGACCTAGAGGAGGGTGCCTGGCACAGCTGAGCAGGATCCCCAGTCACCACCATCTGGCCCAGGGGGTGGCGGATTTGCCACCCAGCCAGTGTGATTCTGCCTTTCCTTCTCCCATGTAGTCAGCTGTCAGAAACCTTGGAACCCAAGAGGATGCTTGGGCCAGCGGGCAGAGTGATGCACGCCTGCAATCCAAGCACACTGGAAGGCTGAGGCAGGAGGACCTCGAGTTTAGGCCCAGCCTGAGCAATCTAGGAATTAGTAGGACCCTGTCTCAAAATATAAAAATCCAGGTGAGGAGATAGCTCAGTAGAATAAGAACTTGCCTGGCAAGGGCAAGGTCCTGAGTTCAATCCCCGGTACCGGGAAAAAAAAAAATCCAGGTCTGGGACGCAGCTCAGTGCAGAGCCCTGGGTTCGATTCCATTGCCACAAATACTAAGAAAGCAGAGAACAATCCAGGCCTAATGACTCAATGCAGTCCCGGTGGCCCCAGGAATCTGGGTTTCCTACCTGATGCCCTGCCTCCTGACGGAGAGTCCACTGTGTTGAGGATGGACATAGCCAAGGGTGTCCCCAGGGGAGGCCCTCACTTAGCCAAGAAACCCCACAGACATTGCCCGGCACAGTGGGGCAGAGGCCAGGTTCGGGCTGTGCGGGGAAACCCCACATGCACCCTGGGGTGTAACTCAGTCCCTCTGCAAAACGTAGGGCAGGGGCAGGTGGGTGGGAGGCTGAGCACTTGGCTCAGGGGTGCCTGGGGGAAATTGGGGGTACCAGGAGGTGGAAAACCTCTTTCCTGTTCAATGCACCCCGAAGATGCCTCCTTAAATAGCATAGATGAGGCTCCACTAATACATCCTTGTTAATGAAGGAAAGATGTCGAGGAGTCCTTAACCTTAGTGAAGCCTTCCCCATCACGCTGGTCCCGGGGATTGGAACTAGGGATTGAACTCAGGCCCTTGCGCTTGCGCTTGCCAGGGAAGCACTTGTTCCACTGAGCCACCACCCCGGCCCCTGTTTGGTTTGGTTTGGTTTGTTTTGTTTTGAGAAAGTATCACTCTACAGTGCAGTCTGGCCTTGAACCCACTTACATAGCCCAGGCCGGTCCTGAACTCGTGGCGATCCTCCTGTCTCAGCACTCCCAGTGCTGGAATTACAGACTATGCCACCACACCCAGCTTGCCCAAGCCATGTGAAGAGAAACGGAAAAATAAATTCACCCTGGCCTCAGTTTACACAATGAAAAGTGGGTCGGTTCAGACATGGGAGGTGCCGAGGATCCCGCGCCATTGCGAGCACGCACTGGCACGGGCATGCAGGTCCCACCGAAGGATCGCAGGCAGGCGACCGTGCTCGCGAAGGTTTCACTGCTGGGCGCAGGTCCCAGCCAAACCAAAGCTCCCACCAAAGTTCAACACGCCCCCCAAACTAGTTCCTGATTGGCCCGCTCGGCCCACACTGTGAACTAATTTCACCTTCTGATTGGCTATCTTGCTTTCTGTTGTGCGCTGAAGCCCTCCCTTTTCCTGATTGGCTCAACAACTACCTGCAGTCGCCATGGATTGGGTTCTGGAGGGGCGGTCTCGAAGGCTCTAGGGGCCCCGATCCCTGATTGGCTTCTTTGGCCAGCCACACGGCCTGCACGCTGAATGGCTGCGCCGCTACCTGTCTCGAGCTCCGATTGGATGCGTGGAGCCTCCCCTGAGTGATAGGTCGGGACCACCGCCCCCCTGGTTCCCCATTGGCTGTTCAGCGAAGCCCGGTCTCCGGGTAAGATGGCAGCGGACGGACAGTGCTCGCTCCCCGCTTCATGGCGGCCGGTGACCCTCACCCACGTCGAATATCCTGCAGGTAAAAGGCAGCGCCAGCTCCGAGGTCGCCCTCCCGGGGCCGGCCCCTCAGACCCAGGCGCCTCAGCCTGCGCGAGCTGACGGAGAGGGCGCCGAGGGACCGGGTGGGAACTGTCAAATAGTGAGCCACGGAGGGGCTAGCCCTGCGCGCGTCGCGCAGGCGCAGCGGGGCGGCGATGAGCTGGGCGAAATTGCGAGGCGCTCGCTTGCCAACTCTGCGGCTGCGCGGCTGGGCGCTCCCCCGGGTCCCGGGGCACGGGTGGGCTGCAGGGAGGCGGGGGTCTGTTTGAGGTGGGACAGATTCACGGGCCTGGACCTTGGCCCTTCTTCCCAGCCTTCTCCCGAGCTGGAGAGGCCGCACTCGGTTCTCCGGCGTGCAGGGAGTGCCTCTTCCTTGAGACAGTACTCTGCTGTCTGCAAGAGAAAGAGCTCCCTGTTGCGGGGAGTGTGCAAGCCGAGGCCAGGCTTGTGAGTATTGGGGGTGCCACGCCCTGAGCCGCGCACACAGAGAGCGCTGGGCGGGCGAGGAGGCAGGCAGCCCCGGGATGGAGCTTCCTGTCAGACACACCTCCAGAGGCGCAGAACCTTCCTCTTGGGAAGTCTACTGGCGACTGTCTGGAGGCGATCTAGGGGGAGTGGTGCAGCTCTTAGGCCTTCAGGTCGGATGTATCTGGGTTCCAGTGCAGGCTGACGCCTTGTGCAAGGGCCTCCCCCCACCCCGGCTCAATTACTTCATCTCTAAAGTGGCCTTAAGCACGGTACCTCCCTTTGGCGTGAATCAGATGATGGCAGGCCCGAGGAGGGCTGGGTGCAGTGTGTGTGCCCAGTAAGCATCCGTAAACACCTGCAGTCCAGTGTTGCCCTTTACTCCAGCACCCTGCCTGTAGGAGGGCTTCCAGCAGGGTGAGGCGAGGAGCCCCTCTCCGAGCCCTGATTGCCCAGGAAGAGTCTCTCTTGCTGTACCTTGGGCAGGGATGTGGGAACCCAGACCTGTTTAGGGCCTCAGTTCTGGATACCAGAGGACTTTGGCATTCTGGCCTATGCTGGGGGTGGCGGAGCCCTGCCAGGTGCTGGGCCCCATCTGCTTGCCCACCCACCATTCATTCATTCATTCATTCATTCATTGAACCAGGCCCACTGTGCACCTCCCAAGCTAGGCCTTGGGCCAGCTCTGGGCTTCGACTGGGAAGCAGGCTTGGTAGGCCCTGCACCTCCATTCTGGGGAGAACCTCTGTTTGCTCAGAGGGTCACCAAGGCTCAGAGGCGGGGAGGGACTTGAGTAAAGCCTCAGCTCCTGCCTGACTTCCACTTGCCAGCTTCAGAGCAGCTTCTTGGGGAGCTCACATTGTAACCATCAAGGAGGAGCCTGGCCTTTGGGAGCAACATGTCTGCAGGGGGTGATGAGGAGCCTGGCAGAGCCCAGTGCCACCTGGCGAGCTCAAGACCCCTGCAAATGCTTGTGTGATGCCCTGCACTTCTTCAGATCCACATTGCACTAAACTTGCTTTCTTCACCTGTTATTTTTATTATTAGTAATTATTATTATTATCATTATTATTATTTTGGTACTGGGGATCAAACTCAGGACCTTGGGCTTGCCTGGCAGGTGCTTAAGCTGCTGAGCTGTATTCCTGGCCCTTCACCCATTATTTATCATAGCTTTTGAGTGCTGTTCTGGGCTTGAGTAGAATGAGACGGAGAAAGACTTTGCTCCTATTCTTAAGGGCCTGCAAGGAGAAGGGACAGACGCACTGGCCCGGTAGCTTTATCATGGTGCAGACCCTGCACCGTGCCCCGGTTCCATGGCAGACTGAGAGCAGAGCTGCTCCTCCCCCTCTCACTGCCACTCTGGTAGATACTTAGTGCATGCTGAGGTCACCCTGGCAACATCCCAGGTGGGGCAAGCAGTGTGTGCAAAGGTCCAGAAGTGGGACAGCGCGTGGTGCATCCAGGGAATGAGGCCCATCCTAGAACTGGGGCAGAGGTGGCAGGAAGCAGGCCAGGGCAGGGCAGAGCTTGGGGAGACAGGCGAGGAGAGCAGCCCCCAAGGGCAGTGGGAGCCACAGCGGACTGAAAGCAGAGTGTGGCAAGGCCAGAGTCCTTGGCAGCAGCCACAGAAAGGCCCCAGGGTAGAGGCAGCCATGGGGCAGAGGAGGAGGTTACTAAAGACCTAGTGGCACCTGTCACCCTCTTGTCCTCAGCCCAATGTAGTGGTGAGACCAGACTCTCAGGGGTGGCAGGGGAAACAGGCCCTGATGAGGGAAGCGACTCACTGTGTCTTCTTGTGGGACTGAGGGGCACCAGCACGTGAGCGTGGGTTGCTGTCCTGTTCAGTTAGCCCCCGCAGAGCCAGCGTCTCTTGGGGCACGTTTGCACACACGGCTTCCATCTGGCATCTCTGGGCCTCCGTGGACGCATCCCCTCTGCTCATGGCAGCTGCTTCCTCCAGGGTTCTCCCAGCCTCAGCCTGGGTCCTAGCATGGAGGCGTCCCAGGTGTCAAAGACCAGGCTGAGACCAGGGGGTGAAGTTCATGCAGGCAGAATGTGCTGGCACAGGAGCTGAACTGTGTCCTCTGACCCCAGCGTGACCACATGGCCACTTTGTCTCAAATGGTGGGGGCAGCCTTTGGACTCAGCCTACCTGTGGGCTGGGATGGGAAGTGGCTCTCTTCTCTTGGTTTTGGTGTCCCCATATGTCAAAAAGCCCACAGGTCCTCATACCCCTCACTCAGGCTCATCAGGGGGGTGATGGTCGGCTGCATAGGAGGTGGGATTTCTGACCCGTGGCAGAGCTCCGGGAAACAGGTGGCCATACTGGGCTGGCCCTTAGAGTCTTGGGGACCCAGGGTGTTTGATGCCCCAAGAGTATCAGCACTCAGCTGGTACAGCCCCAACATGGCCCTGTGCCTCAGAGTCGACCCTGTGCCTTCGGGGCTGCTCCCTGCAAGGGCCTCTCCCCCGGCATCAGGCCAAGTGGGGTGCCGGTTCTCACTTGAGGGAGCTCGTGGCTGTAGTGTTTGGACCAGGCCAGAGCCGTGGACCCTCCAAGTGCTGTTTCTTTCTGGCTGTGCAACCGGGGAAGTCGCCTGTCTGTCTGGGACTCCTCTCCTTGCTCCGTAGAGTGGGGACAGCAAAGGTACCCGCCCTCAGCTCACAGCACATGAGCTGGGTGGTCACCGAGTTTGCCCCCCCCTTCCCTTTCTCCCGCAGGTGATCTCTCCGGCCACCTCCTCGCCTGCCTGAGCCTCGGCCCCGTGTTCGTCATTGTTGGTTTCGTGACGCTCATCATCTTCAAGCGGGAACTGCACACAGTGAGTCGGTCCCCACAGCCCCTCCCAGGCCCGTGGGAGGTGTGGAGCCCTGGTCCCTGGGCTAGGGCGGTGGCCCGCAGGTGGCCAGAGGCCCTGCTGAGCACATCTTCCCCCGCAGATCTCTTTCCTCGGGGGCCTGGGCCTGAACGAGGGGGTCAACTGGCTGATCAAACACGTCATCCAGGAGCCACGGCCCTGTGGAGGTAGGGCCTGGGCTGGGGTGTCTGGGGTCCTCCACTGCAGCACTGTCCCCTGACACCTGGTCTCCTTTCTGCCCTAGGCCCCCACACAGCGGTGGGCACGAAGTACGGGATGCCCTCGAGCCATTCCCAGTTCATGTGGTTCTTCTCTGTCTACTCCTTCCTCTTCCTGTATTTAAGGTGAGCTTCTGGTCCAGGCCAGGGACTCACTGCTGACCCTCTACGTATCCTTGGGGGTGCGGGAGCCACAGGGAAGGCAGAGGGCTCCAGGAGCATTTGGCTGGGGCCGGAGCTCTTTGGGGAACCTGGACCCTGCAGAGGGCTAAACCCCGGATGGGCCTGTCTTTACAGAATGCACCAAACCAATAATGCCAGGTTTCTAGACCTGCTGTGGAGGCACGTGCTGTCTTTGGGGCTCCTCACTGCGGCCTTTCTGGTCTCCTACAGCAGGTACAGGGAGGGATCCCCATCTGCACCCCACCTCCTCTGGGCTCTGCTGGGCTCTCCGTCCCAGTGGGACTCATGACTCTAGTCCTAGAGCCCGGGGGCAAGGCTGCAAAGGCTCCCAGTCTGTTTTGAGGGATGGGGCCCACTTGTCCCTCCTGGTCCCATTTCTGGATCCCACAATCCTGGCAAACCAGCGTGCACTGGCTGTGTATTGTTAGCTCCCCAGAGTTGAGGAGCTGGGGAGGACAGCAAACTCCAGCCGAGCCACCTTCTAGAGACTGGGGCAGCCCAGTGTGGCGCCTGTCAGGCCCCTGGAAGCTGAGCTGCGGCCTTGTCCCCAACACTGCCCACCCATGTGGACCTCTACATGTGCACATTAGGCCCCTGGGCGGCCTGCCTCGGTGCGGCCCATGGCGCTCTCTGTTCCTGGTGGCCTGTCTTGGTGCGGCCCATGCGCTCTCTGTTCCTGGTGGCTCTCGTGAACTTCCTTCTGGCCTTGACCCAGGGTCTACCTGTTGTACCACACCTGGAGCCAGGTGCTGTATGGGGGCATCGCTGGAAGCCTCATGGCCGTTGCCTGGTTCATCTTCACTCAGGAGGTCCTCACCCCACTGTTCCCCAGGATAGCAGCCTGGTAACTGCCCCCTGCCCCTCCTGCCTCCCAACACCATGGCCCTGTCCCCTCCCGTGTGCTGACTTCTATGTCCAGAGCCCAGCCCAGTCCCCCCTGGGAGGGCAGTGCCAGGCTCAGGTGCCAGGAGCTGAGGCCACTGCCCATGTCCCGTCCCCAGGGGGTGTCCGCAGGGATGGAGGCACCATCCTTGCTCCCTGCCTAGGGACTTAGAAAGCAGCCCGAGTCCTGCTGGGCTGTAAGAACTGCAGGCCAGTGTCCTTGCCTGGTGATGCAGGTGACACAGCAGAGTCTTGGTGGCTCTGGTGCTGCAGGCCAGGCAAAGACTAGGCAGTCGGGCGGGGGCAGGGCAGCCCCAGCACCGGGGAGGCACCGGCTTGGTGGCAGCTGTGCCTGATGCAGCCCTCTGCCTCCGCAGGCCCATCTCCGAGTTCTTCCTGATCCGAGACACGAGCCTCATCCCTAACGTGCTCTGGTTTGAGTACACAGTGACCCGGGCAGAAGCCAGGTGAGTAAAGGAGACAGCAGACCCCACTGCCCTGTACCTGTGGGGCTCCCCAAGAGCCAGCCCTTGCTGGCTTTTCTTGCATTGCCTCATTGAATTTTCCTGTGGAGCTATGGATGTGAAAACCGAGGCCCAGAGAGAAGGGAAGCACAGCCTGAGGTCTCTTGGAGAGGAGGTGGGAGAGCTAGTTGTTTCAGAGCTCTCACATGGAACCTGTCTAGTCCAGAACCAGTAATGGATCCCTGTGGGCCTCAGGGGCCTGTGTGTGGTGCCAGTGGGGCTGTTGAGCCAGTGGGTTGGGGTGGCCCAGCAAGCTGAGGTGCACAGCAGGTTGGGGTGAGGCTGGGCCCTGGGGCTTCCTGACTCATGGACTTTCCTCAGTGTATCCTGGTCCTGGGTAGGGTACCCTCGGGGTGGGCAGGGCTGGCACCTCTGCTTTCAGAGGGGAGTAAGGCAGTTTGGGCCCCAGATGACTCCAGGGAAGTTTTCCCTGGGCTGGACGGGACCACTCTGGCAGCAACATGACATGTTTAGTGCATCAGGGTCCAAATGAGCCTAACAAGCTTAGAGCGAAGCAGGGATTTGAGGGTTAGGGCAGGCCAATCCCATTAGTGCGGAAAGGCCCCAGCTGGCCCTGCTGAGCTGCCACCTGGCTGCCCCCCGAGTGGCTGGCCCTGCCCTGTCTCGCTGGCTGCTTTCATGGACCCACACCTGCCCTAGCTGCCCGGGGTGCTGGGGAGACAGAGTGAGACAGACAGCCACATCCCTTCTGGTGCCAGGGCAAGGCCCGAGCTGTGTGAGTGGAGACGGGGTGTGGAGAGTGGGAGCCTGGCACTGCTGTGGGAGTGAGTGGGCAGCCAGCAGGGGGCTCTCAGCAGAGGGGCTGAGGCGCAAAGCCTCTGAGGCAGAGCCACTGGTGGCAGGGAACAGGGGCCGCAGCACAGGGGTCCATTCTGGCTCTCAGCCAGCACCTCTGAAAAGTAAGGGTGATTGACCCACTGCCTCAGATTCCTGGACTATTCCACTGGAGACACAGGAGCACCTAATGCAGCTGCCGAGGATCCCCCATCCCCATCCCTGTCCCCATCCCATCAGTCAGTCTCCTGATACTGCACTTACCGGCTTCCTAGGGATTCTGGGTGCACAGCCTTGTTCCCCAGGACCCAGGCCTGGGGCAGGAGCACCATGAGCCCAGCTGGGGTGGACTGTGGCAGCTGTGAGTCAGGTTGGGTTGGCACTGTGTGCTGACTGGGCTATGAGCCCAGGGGACAGCTGCAGGTGCCTTCATGTATGACCCTACCCTATTTGCAGGAATAGACAGCGCAAGCTGGGGACAAAGCTGCAGTGACCTCCACATCTGGGCCGTGTGATGCCTTGCAAGGTGGACAGCATGACAGAGGGACGAAGCAGAGACCTCTACAGACCCAAGTCACCAAGCGGAGCCTTTTTGTTTTCTTAATTTTCATTTTAATGAACGAGGTGGACCAAAGGGCTGAGCCAGCCCCTCAGCCAGGACCCTGGGAGAGCCTGCTGCCCCGGGCCACATGGCCAGAGACCTTGCTGTGTTGCCGCCAGTCCCTGGCAGGGTGAAGCGTGCCCTTGGCACAGGCACCAGGGTGTGGGGAGAACAGGGCTTGCACCTCTGGGCTTGGGGCTGGGAGCTCCAGGGGGTGTGAGACACACACACTATTTATTGTTTTGTAAAAGGCAGGAGGGGTTTGGAGAAGGGCCTGGGAGAGCCGGTGCGCGATGGCTCTGTGTGCAGAGGGACCTTCCTGCCGCTGTCCCAGAAGCTCGGTGTTTCCCTGACAGCAGGGCTGGAGCTAGCATGCGGCTGGCGGCTGCCGTGATTGTGTTCTTCCCCAGTTCCCCTGACCCCACAAGGGCTTCCTCTGGTCCCCCATCCTGACAGCTGTCCCTTTCTGACAAAAGAGCCTGCACATGTGGGTACACACACCCAGGCTGTTTACAGCTCTTTTTTGTCCCACCAGTAGTAGTCCTCTTCCGGCTGAACAAATGCCAGGGGCCAGAGCCGGCGAGCCCCACCTTCCTTGTATGAGCAGAACTTGTCCTTGTCCCTGACTGGGGACCTGTTTGGGACCACCCTCGGGCCTGGGACTGTGTGCCCAGGAAGGCACCTAAGGGACCTGTAGGTCACTGTGGTGCTTGTGGGCAGATGCACTCCTCAAGTGTCCAGAACTGCGCCTGGCCCCGTGGACCCGTGTCTGATGCCCCCTTTTCTTTGTGGAGGTTTCTAACCTGCTGCTGAAGCACAATTTTTTGGTGCTTTCTTTTCTCATTTGTTCAAGGCAGTGTCCAAAGCCATTCTAGATGCCAGGATCAGGGCTGATTTCTAGGGAGGTAGGTCAGTGCCCATGTTTCCCTCCCCTCCCCTTAGGATTTTTATTTTGTACTTTCTTGCCTGAGATAAGCCAAGAGTGAGGTGGTTTGATTTCAGAAAAAAAAAAAAAAAAAAAAAAAAATCAATGAAATTGTTTACTATTGTTTTAAAATAAAATCTTAAACTCTGATGGCTGCAGTATGTGCTGGCTAAGCCCAAGAGACGGTGCAATCAAGACCATAAAATTAGAAGCCTCTCTCCAAGGTATCTAGTCCTGGCCGGATGTGAGGCTGCACACTCCTAATTCCAAAGTTTTGGGAGGCTGAGGCAGGAGGATGGTAAGTTCAAGCCCAGGTTGGGTAACCTGGTAATGAGACCCTGTCTGAGCAAGTAGAAAGGGCTGGCAACGTAGCTCAGTGCTAAGCCCTAGGTTCACTCCCCCATAGCAGAAGTCAGTCAATTGAGCCATCTTCTCTGCCCCTAAAGCAGGGCTTTGGTGGCCTCAACACTTCCAGCAGGACCCGTCCAGTCTGGTTCCGGGGTGCTCTGGCCAGCAAGGAAGTTGCCTCACTGAGGCCAGCCAGTGCAGGGAGCTCTGGCCTGCCCCAATCAGAAACAACCTTGTCCTGGAGGTGCCAAGGCCAGGCCGGGTTCCCCAGAGCCTTGACAATGAACCTTGACTTCAGGCTGTGACACCAGGTCTGGCAGCAGCAAACACATTTCTGGGGGAAGAGGCCTGCGTTTCAGGTTTCAATTCTGGATCGAGGAGTTTTTATATTATAAAGGAGTCAGGTGTAGTGGTGGTAAACACCTGTAGACTACTAGCTGGGAGGCTGAGGCCGGAGAAACCTAAGTTCCAGAGCAGCCCGGGCAGCTTAGTGAAATTGTCTTAAAAGCTAAAAAGGGCCAGGGCTGTTGGCTCAGTAGTAGTGTCCCAGAGCTCAGTCCCCAGCACAGAAAGATCATCATGGAGCCCACTGTACAGGCACCATCGCCTGCGTCCTGAGGTCTGGGCAGGTGGCTGCCCTTACCCAGCCTTTGGGGAGAACTGGGTGCAGTGAGCCCCACCTTCACGTGGCCAAGGAGTCGGCCAGGCATGGCCGGTGAGGCCCTTCAGCTGTGCCGCAGCCTCTCTGCCCTGGACAGCTGGGCGACCAGTGCAGAGCAGCTGCCGAGCCACGTGGGCTCCTCGGCCCCCGGCCTGGAGACAAGGGTGTCCCCAGGGAATTTCTGCCCAGCCATTTAGTGTTCTGATGACTTAAGTTCCGAACTTCAGTTTCCTCATCTGAAAAACAAGGAAGCTGGGCCACAGCCATGTCCATCTGTAATTCCAGTATTCTGAGAGGCTGAGGCACAATTGTGAATTTAAGCCCAGCCTAAGGAATTTATGGAGAGGGGCTGGGGAGATGGCTCAGTAGAGTAAGTGCTTCCCTGGCAAGCACAAAAGTCTGAGTTCAATCTCCAGTTCCGCCAAAAAAAAAAAAAAGTAAAAAGGAATTTATTGAGAGGGCCTGTCTCAAAACAAGGGTGAGGATGGAGCTTAGCATGAAGACTGGGTTCACACCCTCCAATCGCCAAAAAACCCACAGACTACCCAAAGTAACCTCAGGTGGGCAGCCCTGACCACTCTATCGAAGTCTCACCCTGGCACCTGCTTGCGTTTTGCACGCACCTATTTCACTTTATTTTTTGGCAGAACCGGGGATTGAACTCAGGCCCTTGAGCTTGCAGGCAAGCGCTTATTCTCCTGAGCCATCTCCCAGCCCCCCCTTCACTTTAAAACACACACACCCACAGTACTGGGGATTGACCCAGGGTCCTGCACTGAGCTATATCCCCAGCAACTTCTATTTTTCTGAGACAAGGTCTCACTGAGATGATTGTACTGGCCTTCAACTTCTGACCCTCCCGCCTCAGCCTCCCACATAGCTGGGGTTGTAGGCGTGCACACCACGCCCAGCTCTGTGCCTGTCCGTTGGTCTGTCCATTCGGCCTCCACTGGCTGCATGGGTCAGGACAGGCCCACAATTCTGACCAGGTGGCGGGGCTGGAGATGACTGCTGCCACTACCATGCCCGTGGAGTCACTGGACCAGCCCGAGGACTGCTTGACACATCTGGGAGCTCCTGGGCACTGGGGGGCCACCTGCCGCTTAGCTGAAACTCATCTGTTTTTCAGTACCAGATACTGAACTCACGATGTTATGCTTGCCGGGCACGTGTTTGATCTGCTGAGCTATCTCCCCAACTCCTGAAACTCATCTTTCCAGCATATTTCCTCTTTTATTACTCATCCGCCACAGGTTTACTTCATATGGGGACAGCCCCTTGCCTGGGGAGGCCCAGAGTCCTTGGCCATAGCCAGTCATGTCTCTGGGTCTTTGGGAGACTGGGTCAGGGTACAGACACTGGCGTGCAGATGGGAGCTGGGAGGAAAAGGAGCTCTGCGCAGGCTCCTGCTTTGGCAAGTGCTGGGTGGCCCTGTTCCCTGCCCAGGGACAGCATGGTGGGGCTGGGCCAGGGGCCTGTACTTTCCATCCTGCTCAGCCTCAGTTGATTTCAGCACTCGGGCTGTGCAGGACCTGGGAACAGTCATGGAAGGCACTAGGCTTAGGGTTGTAGGCCCCATGAGAGGACGCCGGCCTGGCTCGGTCAGACCTGGGCCTGGGCTTTGGAAGCTGCAGGCTGAGCTCAGCGAGCACCCGTCCCCAGGCGACTTGACTGTGGCTCAGGGAACCTGGGCGCGGAGCTCAGAGCTTGGCCCGGGGGTGGCGCTGCAGCAGTTCACGCATGTCCAGCAGTGCCTTTTCTAGGTAATGTGCCAGGCGGGCAGCGTTGGTCTCAGCGCAGCTATTGTAGGCCGACACGGAGAAGTTGACATGGGTCTCCATGGGGTTGTAGCAGACACCGTAGCCGTCAGGGACCACAGGCCCGAAGAACATGACACAGTCTGTCTTGGCAGGGACCTGGATAGTGCAGGATCAGTCTCATGCCCTGCCTGCCCAATGCTGTGCCTCTCCTCTGGCACAGCACTGCTCCCTCTTCTCTGTGGTCCCAGGGTCCCTTCTTGTGGGGACTCTGGCTTCTCCCTCCTCATCTGTCCCTGCTGCCTCCCAGTACTCAGTGCTGGCTGGCAGGGGTCAGGTGATTATAACTGACCAGCAAATGACTAGGCTCATTTTCTTTCAGGGCTGGGGCGCCTACTCACCTGCCGTGGTTGCTGTGTGCCGCCTGCCCAGTCCTCCTGGGCACTGCACTGCTCTAGTTGAGGGCCAAGCACATGGCCCCACCCCACCCCACCCCAATGGGTTCTTGCCCCCTCCCAGCGGGGCACTCGGGCACTGCTCACCTGGCTGGTGGAGAGGTTGAAGTGCATGGCAATGGCGTAGGAGGTGTCCATGAAGATGTCAGGCATGCTCACCAGGTCCTCAATGGCCTGCATCTTGAGGCCCAGCAGGTGTCGGTCAAAGGCCTCCCCACGGATGGCCTGGGGGAAGGAGCAGGCAGGAGCAGGTTCAAAGCAACAGGTCACCCTTGCCTGCTCACCTTCCCTAGGAGGAAGTGGGATTCCCTGGGCGACCACTCACCCGGTCGGTGTAGGCGCGGTGTGACTGCACAGCCTTCCGCAGCAGCTCCACCTTCTGGTGCTCCTGAGGAGTGTGGGCGAGAGGGGCCAAGACGCTGTTCCTCCCTGTGTGCTACTTCAGGACCCTAGTCCCCCCAGCACTGGCTCCAAGCTCCTCTGGAGGAAGCTCAGCTTCTTTGGAGCAGCCATCTCCTTGATCCCAGCCAGGCCAATGTGGGGCAGATGCTCACTGCTGGCAGGTGGATGACTGAATGGATCTTTTCTCTTGGGCTGTCAGGAGGCTCTGAACTAAAGCCTCAGCTCCATTTCCTTAGATTACACTGCCCACCACAGGGCTGGGATCCCACAGGTCATGGCCAGAGTGCTCCAGCAGAGCAAATGGGATAAGCGGATGGTGCAGCGCAGGTCCGCAGGTCCCCACTCTAGCCCGGGCTCTCACCAGCACACTGGAATCGTCCATGGCCTTGGTGAAGGCCAGCGAGTCTGTGGAGGCCGAGCGGATGGTGTCGGTGCGGCCCAGGTGGAACATGCGCAGGGAGGCGCTCTCGTAGGTGGCACAGGCCTGCCCGTAGATCCTGGGGGGAGGGGCACTGAGCACTGTCCCAAGGTGCCTGCCCGCCCAGTCTCCCGCCCGACTCCCAGGGGTGCACACCTGTAGTAGGCCAGCTGCAGGGCCATCTGGAAGAAGCCATCGGGGCTCAGCTTCTCGGACTTGGGGAAGTCCTTCCCGAAGTGGTGGAACACAAACACCATGATGTCCAGGTCCTGGAGCATACTGGGCAGGCCATGGGGGGTGAGAATGGGCCCTGGGAGCTTCTGCACAGCAAGAACCCACAGTGGGGGTGAGGGGTTTGGGGAGACAGTGACAGTCACCTACATGCTGAGGTTCTGCTTGGCCTTCTCGATGTCATTCTTGATCTCGGGGGTGATGTTGAATCGCAGCTTCTTGGGCATGGGCAGGGGCACCATGGGCGATCGCACCAGCTCCGGCTTCTTCCTATATGGGGGTGGGGCTGAGTCTGCCGGGGGCTGGGGCCCAGAGGGTCTGGGAGAGCTAGGGGCTTGTCCCAGGCACAGGTGGGCAGTGCCAGAGCCAGGACTCAAACTCAGGTCTCACTGACTCTGAACCATGTCCTCTGCTTGCTTCCCTTCCCTGATCCCCAGGCAAAAGGAGAGTGATGTCCAGACCTGCAGTTCACCTGTCACCAGGTACTGAAGAACCACAGTGTGAGCCGACTCACGTGTACTCCATGATGTGGTCCAGAAGGGCGACGATGGGGGGCCCCTCAGCAGCAGCATGCTCATAGACGAGCCCACAGGAGCCATCCTCTGCTACGATAAACTGTGGAGGACAGGTGACCTGTCAGCGACTCTCAAGGGTCTCAGGGGAAGGGCCACTTTGAAGCCATCTCGGTGTGACACTTATTCCTCTGTGACAGCTGCCATCTGTCAGGCAGCCTGGCCATCCCCAGCCCTTCCTGAACTCCATACCCCAGTGAGTCTTTGAGGATCCACAGCAGGGCATTGTCACCCCAGGCCCAGGCACACTAAGGGATGGCTGTGTCTGGTCCCAGACCCTCCTGATGTGCTGAAGAGCAGTGCTGGGGGTGACAGAAGCCTGATAATGATAGGCGGCTGCCAGCAATCAGGGCGTGTCCAGCCCACCGCCTTCCACCTGCTTTATAAGCAGGAGACAGATGCCAGCCCCATAATGGCAGGCAGGAGAAAGTCCGGGCACACCCTCACCTGCAGTGTCTTGTCAAACCAGCGGTTGCCGCTGTTCAGTGTGCCACCGCCTCCGTGCAGCATCTGGCCAGCCACATGGTTGCGATAGACATCTTCAGAGACCCTGGGCACCGGCTTGTCCAGGCACACGGTGAAGATGCTCTTCTGGATAGAGCGTACAGAGTCCCGGTTCACCTTGTCTGTGGTGGCGTGGGGTAGGGGTGAGACTCAGGACTTGGTGCCCAGGTACCCTGCTGGGAAGGGGAGTTCCTGGCCTGGCCCCGCTGAGCCCAGGGGTCCTTGCGCCATCTACTGCCTGTGGGTAAGTGCTTTGATCTCATCCTTGACAGGCCACTTGCAGCAGCACCTCAACTCCCAAACCCCTGGCCACGGCAGACACGGGGTCACATGAGACCTGTGGGCAGTCCCGCAGTGCCCAATGGTGGCCCGCACCTTTGATGAGGGTGTTGTAGGCCTTGGCCCAGCTGTTGCGGTGGTTGGAGGTCAGGATGCCCACCGGCTCCTTGTTGGTTTGCAGAGACGAGTTCCAGATCTTCTCCAGCTGCACAAATATCTGATCCGCAGTAAGGGGTGTCCCATCGCTGTGGTACACGTCCAGCTCAAAGAACTGAAGAGAGGAGAGGAGCGGTCACCTTGCCATGTCTGGAAAGCAGGGAGGCAGGGCTCCGTGGCTATGGGCAGCGCCATCCACCTGGTAGTTGTGCACCACAGTGATGTGCATGGGCGGCTTCTTGGTCTTCAGGAAGTTGACCACAGAGTCCTGCTTGGGGCCTGGCACACGGCAGGACGACAGGATCTGGTAATACTGGTTCATGCATAGTGGCTTCCCCGCAAGGTGCTCCACAGGAAGGGTCTCACTGTAGGGCGGGACAGCGAGGCCTCAGGGAAAGAGAGGGGCCCAGTGGACGGGCCTGAAGCGCAAGCAAGTAGGTCACACACCACGCAGCACAAGCATTGCTACTCCACCGGTGTGAACAGGGGCCAGCAGTACCAGGGGCTCT